CCTGTAGTGTATTAAATCATTTAATGTCCACACATCTATTATTATATCCCTTCTACTACTGGGAAAACAAAAGCGTTAAATATTATGACTTGTCCAAGGTCACACACCTAGTAAGTATGTTATATTGTTTCCACTTTCTACATGCTGGTTTTTTAGAAGATTTTATTTATTTATTTTTGAAGAGAGGGGAAGGGAATGAGAAAGAGAGGGAAAGAAATATCCATGTGTGGTTGCTTCTCATGTACTCTCTAATGAGGACCTGGCCTGCAACCCAAGCATCTACCCTGACTGGGAATCGAACCTGTGACCCTTTGGTTTGCAGCCCACACTCAATCCACAGAGCTCCACCAGCCAGGGCCATGCCGTGTTTTTAACATATGTGTTAAATGAACCAAGCTAACATTACAGTTCTCAGGAGCACAGATTGAGGCTTCCACTGTTTGTTTTCCCACTGAAAAAACCCAGTTAGATCGGAGCCTCTGAGAAGTGCCTGACAGTGTAAAAATAGCAGTGAAGGAATGATATTATCAGAGGAAAGTGGATTGCGAGTATTAGACACTCAAAGAAAGGTATGTCAATTTTTTTTAAAAAAAAGATTTTTTCTTTATTTTTATAGAGGGGAAGGGGTGGAGAAAGAGGGAGAGAAACATCTATGTGTGGTTGCCTCTCCAGCGCCCCCTACTGGGGACCTGTGCCCTGATTAGGAATTGAAGGAGCTACCCTTCGGTTCACAATGCAGTGTTCAATCCACTGAACCAGCCAGGGCAAGGCATGTCCAGTTTTAAAGGAGAATTTATTCTCTGACATTTTGGTTGCGTTTCTTATAAATGACCAGTTAATTCTTACTGATAATCAGAAGACTGAATTCCCTAAATTATCTGAGCAAACATTTCTCTTTAAAGTTTCTTTCCCTGGTGAATTCCAGTAAATGTTCACCATGTTGATAAGACTATAATTGCCCTATTGGTATAGTATTTGCCAGTTGGGGAGAATTAAATTCAGTATAGTATTTTTAATTAAAAAATAATTTATCTTATTCCAATTACTCGAAAAAAGTAAACACTTTTTAAATAGGAGCTTTTAAATCACTTTTGTAATCTCCTAAGTAAAATTTCAACTCTTTACCTTATAGTTTACTAACTCATTAATTTAAAAAATCAGTGACAATTTGGGGATTATGGGTAAACATATCAATCACCGAGAAACCCCAACCATTACTGAGCCTTCAGTAATGATAGACCATTCAGCAAAACGCCAGCCTAATATCTTTTTATTATATGTCCCTGGTCAAAGAACTACATTGAAACACTGGGCTTATATCAAATTTCTTGTAAGAATGTTAAAAATCTTTATGTCCCATAAACTACTTCAGAAAAATTTCATATGATGGCACATGTATCATAGCTGAGATCCATTAGTGATAAATTCATACTTGCATCTAGTAAATTCAAACAAGAAATAAAAGTAGAATCACTGGGACCTTTGTTTTCAGATGATGTCACCAATAACATCTGCTTTAACGCTAGCTTGTCTGTAGGCTGATTTCAGAGGCTTTAAAGAACCAGAACTTGACTCTCTATCCAGGATCTTTAGTTTGCACCATTGTTTGTGTGTCTTTCTTTATCTTTAAAGTTTGAATATAGGAGACTTGGCAAAGTGTGAACATAAAGAAATGCAACGTTCTGCTTTAATACATATCATAGTATCAGTCAGTAAAAGTTATACATAGTTATTTATTGGTCACTGGAAGGGGGTGGAAGCATAGTCAGTGCTGCAGAGCCTTTTAGACTTCTGCTTTCTTCCTAGTGTTTGTCAGAATGCCTACAAACTTATACGTTTTAAGAAATGAAATGTTTGAAATTTTATGTCCAGTATTTGGAAGAAAAACATAAACTACTTGAGAATTTTTCAATTTAAATAAAAATGCTGCATCACAGCATATTAAAACAGAACAGCAACTGCCAGACCTCAGAAATATTAACTTCTGATATATAGCATTTTAGCTTCCTTGAAAAAAATAAAATTTCAGTTATTAAGTCATTTTGGGATCCAATAGGAAAGTGCATAATTGCTGACTGACATATTTATTTATATTTGCTAAATCTGGTACAATTCTTATTCAAGTATGTCCTCATATATATATTTACTATTAAGTACATACATGTATATATACATATATGTATATGTTTACTTTTTAAAATTTAAAGTTATCCTACTCTTTGTTTATATTTTTAAACTGTACTTCCAAAGTTTTATCTTTGGAGAATCCGACTTTTAATTATTTTCCTCTTATAATTTTTGGAACTGCAACAGTCTTCTAACAAAGTTATTTAGTTCTGTATATGTTGAGAAATTTTAAAAGGAGAAATGAGAACTTTCACAAAGTTTTAAAAGACTTTTTCAGAGTTTGTAGCCAGAATCACCACACATACTTATCACTGTTTTTTTTCAATGCCATGAATCATTACAAATGTCAGGTTCATTACTGCAACACGCTAAAGTGGGAACTGTGCCCAGCACTGTACTGTAAAACAATCCATTTCCAAACACATTGTTTTGTACTGTATGCCTCAGCCCAACTAAGTTTTATTTGACACTTTGGTGATTGCTCTCTTGTTTGGTGTTGACAAATTCAAAGCTATGAAATTCAGAGCTTAAATATAAAGAGCACAATATAAAGACTGTCACTATCTGGAGTGAATCTGTGCATGTTATCCAGAGTCATCTACTTTTGGGATTGCATTCTGCACTTTTTTTTTTACTTCAGTCATGCAATCAGAATGTATAAGTGAACTTGTTATATATCTATTCTAGGGTTTATGAATCTCAGTCTTTACCCGTGTTCAAATGGAATTAAATGTGGTTACCTTGGAAAAAGAAACAGTTTAGAACCAACCAATAGCAGCCTCTACATGAAGTCATCCTCATTTGGAAAACCCCATATTGTTTCTCTGCTGCACCCCTGCTTGGTGAATTTGTGCAAATGTGTGAGTTTCAAAATTCAGTCTTTGTCAGCACAAAACAAACACAGATAAAGGTGTTAAAGTGTTTGCCTAACTCTATTAAAACCACATTCCTAGAGAGAACTTGTAAATGACACATGCTGCAGGCTTTCAAAAAGAGCTAGAAAATATAAGCTTAGTGTATACTTGAGAGCAAAAGAGGACAGGAAAATAAAATTTTGAAGGAAAATTAGAAAAATACATAACTCAGTGTTACTTTTAATAACAGTCTTTTTCTCTCTTTTTAAAAATAATTCTTATTGATTGATTTTAGAAAGACATTGATTTGTTGTTCCATTTATTTATTGGTTGCTTTTTGTATGTGCCCTCTCCGGGGATCAAACTGCAACCTTGGCATATTGGAGAATTCTCTAACCGAAGCCCTAATCAACTGAGCCACCTGAGGAGAGCCCCCTTCTTCGTTAAATTATGGGATTTCCTGATACCTGCTTGGTTTTTGCAAGGCAAGGGTTCCTAGATGGCGCTCTAAAGCATTTGCCGGAAGGTGGCGGCAGAAGTCCTCATTGCTTGGAGCTGTCCCTGGTGCTGAACCCAGTTTCAGAGTTTAAGGGGGCAGCGACCAGGGATTCCACCAAGTTCTCCCTTAGAGATTTGCAAGCTTTGGTAAAAAATAAATAAATAAATAAATACAAATAAATAAATAAAAATAATAAAAAATAAAAAGCCATATAAAATGCCCGACCTCATTTACAACACATTAGCAAAATTAAAAAGATAAATAAATACCTCCCCTAAATCTACTCACCTCAAAGCTATGGGAGATGGTAATGTTCACTCAGTTTAAAAGGAAATGGTGCCGGGAAGGCGTGTTTGTAGGATATGTACCGAATTGCGTGTTTTCATTGGGAGCTGCAGCTATTTACTTGTCTTTTTACAAGTCCTTTCTAATCCTTTCTCCCCCAATTTTCCAAAGTTAAGAAAAGTCACAGGAAACATAATCCCCAAGAGACTTAGATGTAAAATGATAAACGGGAGAGAGGGGTGGATTTTAAAAAGCTAAGGCACCGTTTTCTTTCTCTCAATTTATGATAATTTACAGACTGACCCAGGGCTATCCACCTCCCTATTCGGACTCCAAGTGCCTCCTTTGCTTATTTCCTATTGCTACTCTGCACGGTGCTGACTCTATTTAAGAATTTGACAGAAATATAAAGCAATGGGTAGTTAGAAATTTTCCCTCCAGTTTGGCTGGGTGGAAGGCAAAGGTATTCGTTGCAATATTGGTCTGATCGGGAGATCGCGTGTGTGTGAGCAGTTCTAAGTATGTGGGCAAAAGGGGCTTGAACGCTAGGACGCCGAGCTACAGGCAGAGGAGGGCGGGGACCCAGGGGAAAGAGACGCTCAGGGTTGAGGCAGTGTTAGGAGGGAAGGGTTAGTGTGGGAGGGAGGGAGACCGGCTGTCTGAGCCACACAGAGGAGTAAAGAAAGGGTGTGAGGAGGGAGACTGAAAGGGAAGGCTAGTGGGGAGAAGGGAAGTGGAAGGAGGAGGCTTAAGAGAAAGAAAAGAGAGAGGAGAGTAGGAGAGACGGATGGAGAAAAGCAGGGAGAGGAGGGTCACAGAATGACCATGGAGGATGGAGTTTCAATTTTCCAGATACTTTTAGGATTGGAGACTCTTTGCTAGCAAGGAGACTCCGGTTCCGGCAGCCAGTTGGGCAACGACAAGGTAAAATGAACAGCAGGCGACAGACGTTCCAGCCATCTCACTGTTACCCAGAGATCCCGGAGCTGTTCTCCGGCCAACTCGCCTCTCAGCTAGAGTTCCTGAACGCGCTGGACCAAGGGAGCCCACGGAGCGCCTGGAAGCTGCTCCTCGGAGTTGCCTTCGCCTGAGCAGTAAGAACTTCTTGCTTGAGTCCTAGCATCCCCTCCCCCAGAAACTCCCTGGAGAGAGGGGCGGCAGACCCCAGGGGGAGGGGCGAGGGGGTCTTTGTGCGGCTTTTTCTCCCCTCCCCCTCCCCTGCCCAGCGCGCAGGCATGGATGTGCTCAGTCCTGTACAGGGCAACAACACCACGTCCTCCGAAGGTCCCTTCGGGACAAACGGCAACGCTACTGGCAACTCCGACGTGACCTTTAGCTACCAGGTGGTCACCTCTCTGCTGCTGGGCACGCTTATCTTATGTGCTGTGCTGGGCAATGCCTGCGTGGTGGCCGCCATTGCCCTGGAGCGCTCCCTGCAGAACGTGGCTAACTATCTCATCGGCTCGCTGGCAGTCACCGACCTCATGGTGTCGGTGCTGGTGCTGCCCATGGCCGCATTGTACCAGGTGCTCAACAAGTGGACGCTGGGACAGGTCACCTGTGACCTGTTCATTGCCCTCGACGTGTTGTGCTGCACCTCGTCCATCCTGCACCTGTGCGCCATCGCGCTGGACAGGTACTGGGCCATCACTGACCCCATCGACTACGTGAACAAGAGGACGCCCCGGCGCGCTGCTGCACTCATCTCCCTCACTTGGCTCATTGGCTTCCTCATCTCCATCCCACCCATGCTAGGCTGGCGAACCCCGGAAGACCGCTCGGACCCCGACGCATGCACCATCAGCAAGGACCATGGCTACACTATCTACTCCACCTTCGGAGCTTTCTATATCCCGTTGCTTCTCATGCTAGTTCTCTACGGGCGCATCTTCAGAGCTGCGCGCTTCCGCATCCGAAAGACCGTCAAGAAGGTGGAGAAGAAGAGAGCGGACACCTCTCTTGGGGCGTCACCGGCCCCTCAGCCCAAGAAGAGCGTAAACGGAGAGCCTGAGTGCAGAGAATGGAGGCAATGCTTGGGCAGTAGGGCAGGGGGTATTCAGTGCACCAACGGAGCGGTGAGACAGGGCGACGGCACAGCCCTGGAGGTGATTGAAGTGCACCGGGTGGGCAACTCCAAAGAGCACCTGCCGCTGCCTAGCGAGGCAAGTGCTGTCACGTGTGCCCCGGCCTCCTTCGAGAAGAAAAATGAGCGTAATGCTGAGGCCAAGCGCAAAATGGCCCTGGCTCGCGAGAGGAAGACGGTGAAGACCCTGGGCATCATCATGGGCACCTTCATCCTCTGCTGGCTGCCTTTCTTCATCGTGGCCCTGGTCCTACCCTTCTGCGAGAACAGCTGCCACATGCCCACCCTCTTAGGTGCCATAATCAACTGGCTGGGCTACTCCAACTCTCTGCTCAACCCTGTCATTTATGCCTACTTCAACAAGGACTTCCAAAATGCCTTTAAGAAAATCATCAAGTGCAAGTTCTGCCGCCAATGATGGTGGAGAAACAGCCTGGGAACGGGCCCGCCCCATCCACTCATCCTCCCTCAGCCCTCTGGAATCAACCTATGATAACTTGCTACTTTGACTCGAAATTTCTCAGCTGCTCTACCCACAGCTTCCAGACTTCGTTCCCCTCTTCTTTTCTCGGAGGGTGGGCGCTCTGTGCAAAGAGGCGCCTGCGGTGGGGCAGGGGACACGGGAAATTTCCCGCGTCCGTACGTAGGAAGCCACCTTGGCTCTGATTTTGGCTTCAGAAGTAGTTTTTCCCCAACAATTGCCTCCTCTCTTTCATGCTCCCTAAATTTTCGCGGCGGAAGTTTAAGACTCGGCCGTTCAGGGCAAAACATTCACACAGAAAAATAAAGTGTACACTCTGCCGCCGTGCCCACTCATGGCTCCCACCTGCGCGCTCCGCTGCTAGAATTTGGACTCGAAATTCAGGACTTTGCTCCGTTCCTGGCCCCCATCCCCAGCTCTAGTCCTGAAAACGTTCACTTTCTCTTTCGGTGCCAGCCTTTCTCTCCTTTCCCGGTTTCCCTTTAAGCACTTGCTATTCCCTGTGCACTATTTACTACTCGGGGAAAGGCGGGTCTGCTTTCCCCTGCAACGATGATCCCGGCAATCCCTACCTTGACCTTCCTTCCGAGCACGGCCCATGTGTTCTTTTCTTGGACTCAAACAAGTGGCCAGAAGCTGTCTCTTAGAGTGGACTTGTAAGTACAATGCTCGGCCAGTGGGAGAGTGCGGAATGATTATCCGCTCTTGTTTGGCGTCAGCACTCACCAAAGAAACTGACACTCATCGGGTTGGGGGAGCGGATTTCTGTCTGGGTGCTGAAGGGTCTACACGTGCTGGCTTTGCGACTTACCAACTGCGAAGGCGCCCGCTGGCCACTGGGTGCGCGCTGGGGACGCCAACCGCCTGCAGCCTGGCGTGAACGCTGAGCGCGCCCCGCAGACTGACTCGGGGACGGAGCATTCCCCGGCCTCTGTCTCAGGACGCGCTGAAGCCCGCAGGACCCCAGTGCGGGTTTGCCACATCCTCCCGCGCTGGGTCCCGCGGGGCTCTAGGGGCCAAAAAGACCTGAAAGGCCTAGGGAGTGTGGTAGTCCGGTATCGAAGAGGGAGGGCACCTCAGTGTGTTGGCCGGGGCTCCAGCCGGCATTAAAAGGGTAATTTTATCCAAATGGATGCAGACTCTGCTCCTAATTCACTCCCTCGACCTTGGATGGGGGAATAGCGCTATGTAGCGGGTCCTAACAGTACAACAGGATTTGCTCTGCAGGCCGTCCAGGACTCAAAGTTACCAGGACCTTCGTTTCCAACGAGGAATTCTAGGCTTTCAATCCAATGGTCCCGATAGGTTTAGCTCTATCTGCGCTCTCAGAGGCGGTTACCTCAAATACCGAGGCCGCAAAGGCCTAGCTAGGGGTGCTCTTCCCTGGGGAGTCCCTGAGAGGCTTGTACAGGGTTAACATTTGCTCCCTGGCCTGACTGTTTTTCGCCACAGTTCTACGGACAACCGGCTTCTTGCCCTTTGAATTTTTGGAGCACTCCAAGCTTTCTCTCTACCCCCTACCCTCAGAAATTATTCTTTCAGCCTTGCCACCCTGCTGAGAAATCGGTTATAATCATTACTGCCCCCAGAAGGGAAGGTGCTCCGTTAGAATGTAACTTTCCATCCATGTGACCTGACTGGGATCAAAAAGTGTGTTATAGTGAGATCTAGCCCCTACTTTTCTGATGAGTAACAGTTTTGTTTTCCAGCACTTTCACAGTTATTTGATCTTACTCCCCTCTCCTTTCAACTATACCTTTCGAACATTTGCATTGTTGTTTTGAGAACTGTGTTGCAAAAGTTGCCAGTGAAAAGTTCACTTGTGTTTAAAGTTAAGAAGGTGAAAAGACAGCTGGCTCTATCACTTGAAGCCATTTTATTGTTTGTTAAACTGAACAAAGCCTGCACTTAGTATCTTTTTCTCAAACCTAAACTGAGAGTAAGCATTATACCCAGTTAAAAGAGAAAAAGTATAAGAACTCTGGGAAATCAGTGGATGGTTTATCTATGCATATGTAATGCTCAGGAGGGGCTGTGGTGGAGAAAATAAGGTAGACTTCTCGCATTCAACAATTATTCATTTGAAAATTCAAATTTTTTTCTAACAGTAATTTAAGTAGAGCTATATGAAAACACTTTTCTGTATGTGTCTTCCTAAATCTTTAGAAAAAATTCTATAATATGTTTAAAATAATCGAAGTCCAAAATTTGCTCATGCAAATTATACTTTGGCCAGCAAGTATTACATTTGAAGTTTTGAGACTTCTAGTTATTTGTATCTTTCACAGAACTGTATGGCAATAGGTTTTGGGCATTTTTCTTCCTGTTTTGGAGAATTTATACAAGAATGGGGAAGGAGCATCCATTTGGACTGTAATTGCCAAGGTAATAGAGAAATTTGGAATATGTGCAAAAGAGCTGCATAGCAGAAAAAAGACTCTGATGCTTTTTTTTTGAAGTATTTATATTAAGGTAAAGTACATATGCATCAAAATTGGCTTTCACTCCTCCCTGTGACAATAAAGGACTTTAATAATGGTAATGCTACAATAAACTGATATCAGTAACACATGCATCTTTATTTTAATCAGAATCAATGTCTACTTGTATTCATTTATATAATTAAAAAATTGAAGCCAAAGGCCCTTGCTGGGTAACTCAGTTGGTTAGAGTGTTGTCCTAATAGGCCAAGGTTGCAGGTTCAGTCAAAAAACAACCATGGAATGCATACATATGTGGAACAACAATCTCTCTCTCAAATCAATAAATAACAATAAAAAAGAAGTCAAAGAATAAAGTTATCAGTATAAGATCCTGCTATACAGATCAGAGATCTGATACTTAGAGAAATAAATTTAATTTTTAGCACTGAAACTCATTCTAGATGAGTTATTTCTATTTTTAAAGAAATCCTTTGTCTGGCAAGAGGAGGTCATGTCTCATTGGTTAGCCATGAAACCATGCATTAGCCCTCACTGACACCCACAGATAAGGTTTAGGCACCTATCTAAATAAAATGCAGGAGGCAGGGGACATGCAAAAGAAACACAGCCTCCGGTGAAAGCAAAAGGGGCCCATCCTACCTTTTCGAAGTAGTGGACAGTGCTGAGGCTCTTCCTTTGTCTTCCCCACAATGTCCAGCTAGAAGGAAACGGCCTTCAAAAGAAGCACCTGTTTGGGGTTTGCCACTCAGTTAAAGGTAGAGGGGCACTGTCCTCTCTGGGCGGGTCTCATTGGATAGTGGAGCTCCATATGTAAGATCTGTTACTCTGTTAAAATTAATTCTTATTCTGGCTCTCTTTGTTTCTGACTGAAATCATCAATAATGCTTCTTGTTTTCTATGTTATATTTGCTAATCACACTGTTTTCTGATATAAGATTGATGGTTGCAAGGCAAAATGAACTCAGGTAAACCCCAAGAGGAAAAACAAAGGTTAGGGATATATTATGGCCATAGAAGATAGCATGTGAAGCTACATGCCTAGTTCGGGTACATATGTATTACATATTGTTGACTAAAAAATGGTATAGATGGTAAAAAAAGGATTATTTGAGCAAAAGTGTGCAATCTGAGCAACACATATTCAGGTTTGCTCTAGACAGAACAAGGAAAGACAAGGTTTATAAAGGCCAAACCCACTAAATGTAATATTTGCATGCAGGTGAAGTCTTGCTGCCCAGGTTAACAGGGATTGGTTAGTTCCAATATGCACATGAGGGAGCTGAAAGCTATAAGGAAGGAAGCAAAGTCCCTATATGTCCATGTACAGTTTGTTTTCCAGGATGTTTATCACTCTGTGATATTTGTGGTCTCAGGATGTTTTGAGCTGAGTTTAGCAACAGGTTTGGTGATAGAGCTTTTGGAAATGAGATACAAGATGTGTGTAGGCCTCACTTACTTACTCTCCTAACTCTATTTTAAGTGACTCTTAACAATGCTTATTTCCCTTTATTTTTTCATGATCAATATCCTCCCCCAATAATGAAAAGTAAAGGCAGAGGAAGTGAGAGAACAAGAACTATCTTGAGTTTACCATTTGAAAAGTGTTGCATAAATGTATTCCTGACCTTGAGTAAAATGATGCATTGGCACATTTGCCTGTTAGATCCTGGATAACTCCCTTCTTGGTTCACATCTCGTCCTCTAAGGGAACAGTGGTCTTTGGCTTTCTACAGGCCTTCCTGAACCTCTATCAATACTCCAATAAAGAGAGAGACTTGCTATCATTCACTTCCACTGTGACAAACAAGCCCAGGTAATCAATGAGCAGCTATCACATGTCAGGCTTTGTTGAATAATGTTGAAATATGAAACTACAAATTAATGTAAGATGCTCTTGTCGCTTGGAAGGAGTATTTAACCTATGTGGGTATAAAAGAATAAACTACTAAGGTTAAGTAAACATGAATGGCAGAATATATAACTATCATCTAAACAGGACAAATAGCAGGAGTTTGGCCCTTTAAGAATTCATAGGACAAAGATCACTGTGGGCTGTGGAGGCTAGAAAAGATGGGGCAGAGAAAGCAGTGTGGTCCTTCAGAACTGACCTCTGGGCACATGGTGGGGTGTGAAAAGGCAGACATTCTCTATGAGTTGTACAAAACACCTTGGTCCCTTCTTCATGTCAGTTGGGAGCCTGGGATGAAATTTTTCTCTTGAGTGCTAGACTGCTGGCAGCCTGGGTTGATTATCAATGTGGTAATCCTAGAGAGAGGCGCAGGCACAAAACTTTCCCTGTGTTGTGCCAACTGAAAGGGTCTGAGGAGAAAGAGAGAGAGAGAGATACATCTACAGTCATGTGGGTTGGGGTAACTAGATAAAAGGAAGAAATTTCTGAGCAGACTAAGGGATAGAGCCTATTAATAAGGAGAATATAATTAAACCATTAAAGGTTGATAACAGATGATCAGTAGGTACAAGACAGAGTAATTC